CACACACACACACACACACACACACACACACACACACACACACACAAAGGTAGAAGCAGAACTCTGGTTCATCAAGTAGTATGCTAGCCTTGAGTTTGTAAAAGCTCAGGGACAGCACCCAGGCCATGAGTTCAAGCCTAAGGACCAGCACCAAAAAACAATACTGCCTTAAAATGTATACCACATCCCACCCAATAAACCAAAAATTCCCAATGCACAACAGATAGAAAATGTGTTTAAGTTATATTAAGTCACGCTATTTTACTTATCTATGCATACGTATCTATACATACACACACAAACACACACATGCACACACATTATTCCTCATTACCTTTAGAATAAAGGTCCTTCTGAAAAGTTGAAAAAAGATCCCCATGCTATATAAAATCAACTAACTTCTGGCATACAAAAAAACTTGCAGAATATATCATACCAATGAACACAAGTGACATTACATAAGCATGTCAACAGTTAATAATCAAAGGTAATTTACTAACCATGTAGTAGTAACTAACTCCCTAAACTGCCCATTGAAAAATTCCACCTTTGGGTACTGGCCAATCTAGGAGCATGTATATGACTCAAGTTTCTAACCATTTTTTTTTCTTGTTGTTGTTGGATTTTTGCCCCGTCCTGGGCCTGTGTGTTGTCCCGGAGCTTTTGTGCTCAAGGCTGTCACTCTACCACTGGAGCCACAGCGCCACTTCCAGTTTGTGACTGATTAATTGGAGGCAAGAGTCTCACGGGGACTTTTCTGCTTGGACTGGCTTTGAACCATGATCCTCAGATCTTAGCCTCCTGTAGTTAGGATGACAGGTAGGAGCCACTGGCGCCTGGCATCTTCTAGCAGTTTCAAGGTTCCCATTACAAGTTGGTGTGCTTACTTTCTGTCCGTAGACCGCATCTGCTGGCTTGCCGTTTGAATCCAGCCCCCCATGGACATAGGATGAGTTCTTTCCATAGAACCTGCACAAGAAGAAGATCATTTACTTGGCACCTGCATGTCATCTAAGGTCAAGCATTTGTCTCCCACACCTGGGAGCTACTCACTTCACAGGTACTCAGGAAGACACCCTTGTGTCCATCTGTCATTTGCTCAACACCTCTGTCATTTGCTCAACCCATACTCAACATACATGAGGCTGGTCCAGGAGTCAGGGTGAGATGGTTATGATCTTTCATTATGGATAGTTCCTATGAAACTATGGAACTCATGCAAGCAGGGATTGTCTGATGGGCTTTAAAAAAAAACACACACACACACAAGGGCTTGAAACTTGGTCAAAACTTTGTGTTCTCACTCAGCTTTCTTGCTCACAGATGGTGCTCTTATCGCATGAGCCATGCTCCCAGTCTATATTTTGCTGGTTGAATGAAGATTTCTCAAGATTTCTGTGCCTCAGGATCCCAATCTTGGTCTCCGGAGTAGCTAGGATTACCAGGGTGAGCCACTACTGCCTGGCTTGGTAGGAGCTTTTAACCATTTCTGCTAATACAGTGAGTATTTTAGAGTACAATTCCCCTAAAACCTTCCTTCATCTTATCTTCCAAGTCAATTTACATGAAAAATTACAGTATTGGGGGAAGGTGGGGGGACTGGGAAGGTGGCTTAGTGGCAGAGCCCTGGGTTCAATGCCTCAGTACCACATATGTGCAGAAAAAGCCAGAAGTGGCACTGTGGCTCAAGTGACACAGTGCTAGCCTTGAGCACAGAGAGGCTCAGGGACAGTGCTCAGGCCCTGAACTCAAGCCCCAGGACTGGCAATAAATAAATAAAAGAAAATATAGTACAAGGGCTGGGAATTTGGAACAGTGTTTGCCTACCATGCATGAAGCAAAAAAAGCACAAGTGGCATTGTGGCTCACGTCGTAGAGTACTAGCCTTAAGCAAAAGAAGCTCAGTGCCCAGGCTCAGAGTTCAAGCCCTAAGACTGGCAAAAAAAAAAAAAAGTATACATTTCTTTTGCCAGGTGCCAGTGGCTCACACCTATAATCCTAGACACTTAAAGAGGCTGAGATTTGAGGCTCATGGTTCAAAGCCAGCCCAGGCAGGAAAATCCATGAGACTCTTATCTCCAATTAACCACCAGAAAACTGAAAGTGGCGCTGTGGCTCAAGTGGTAGAGCGCTTACCTTGAGCTTTAAAAAGCTCAGGGACAGTACCCAAGCCCAGAGTTCAAGCCCCACAACCAAAGGGGAGGGGGAAGAAAAGACAAAAGAATCAAGTTTCTAGACTTCTACCACTTAATAGAAATATAAATGCCAGCAAACTTCAGAGGCATGTTATATACAACATGCAAGCTAATTAAAAATATTGTTAGGGCTGGGAAGGTTGCCTTGCATGCCTGAGGCCCTGGGTTTGATTCCTCAGCACCACATAAGCAAAAAGAAAAAAGCCGGAAGTGGCGCTGTGGCTCAAGTGGTAGAGTGCTAGCCTTGAGCTGAAGAGCTGAGGGACAGCGCCCAGGCCCAGAGTTCAGGCCCCACAACTGGACCCAAAAAAAATAAAAAAATAAAAATATTGTTAGCTGCTGGTGGCTCACACCTATGATCCAAGCTACTCAGGAGGATGAGATCTGAGGATCATGGTTCAAAGCCAGCCCGGGCAGAAAAAATCTGCAATTAACTAGTAAAAATCTGGAAACAGGGTTGGAAATATTGCTTAGCTTGCCTAGCATGCATGAAGCCCTGGTTGGATTCCTCAGTACCACATACACAGAAAAAGCTGGAAGTGGCACTGTGGCTCAAGTGGTAGAGTGCTGGCCTTGAGCAAAGAAGCTCAGGGACAGTGCGCAGGTGCTGAGTTCAAGCCCCAGGACTGGCAAAAAAAAAATCTGGAAACAGGTGTGGCTCAAGTGGTCAGGCACCAGCTGTGAAGAAAAAAGCTGTAAAGGAAAAAGGGTAAGAGCAAGGCCCTGAGTTCAAGCCCCAAGACAAGCACAAAAAGAAAAAACTTAAGTGCTTCAGTCTAGCATATTACTTTTTTTGAACTTACAGAAAATTATTATCATGTCTACATCGATAGTTTTATATGATATATCATTATTTGTGAAAGTAAAAATGATAAGCAACCTCCATTAGGGAACTGATTAATATATCAATAAAATAAAAATGTTGTAGACACTAAAATTAACATAATATATATGAATTACCTGAAAGACCACCTCAGATTATCAAGTTTAAAAAAGAAAAAAGGGCTGGGAAGGTGACTCACTGGTAGAGTGCTTGCCTTGCATGCATGAGGCCCTGAGTTCGATTCCTCAGCACCACATAAGCCAAAAAGAAAGAAAAAGAAAGAAAAAGAAAGCTGGGCTCCGGTGGCTCATACCTGTGCTCAGGGACTGTGTCCAGGCCCAGAGTTCAAGCCCCATGACTGACCAAAAAAAAAAAAAAAGAAAGAAAGAAAGAAAGAAAAGCAGGCAGCTCCGCATTAGTTGCTCATGTCTCTAATCGTAGCTACTCAGGAAGCTAAGATCTGAGCATCTCAGTTCCCAGCCTGCCCAGTGTAGACAAGTTTGAAGAACTTTTATTTCCAATTAACCAGCAACACACCAGAAGCAGAGTCAAGTGCTGATTGTTCACACATGTAATCCTAGCTACTCAGGAGGCTGAGATCTATGTTCAAAGCTTGTCTGGGCAGGAAAGCCTATGAAACTCTTATCTCCAATTCACGAGCAAAAAGCTCAAAGTGGTGTTGTAGTAGAGCTCTTGTCTTGAGCTGGAGAGCTCAGGGGCAGTGCCCAGGCCCAGAGTTCAAGCCGCCGATGGACAAAAAAAAATTATTACGGTATTATCAGATTTTTCTTTGATAGTGAAAGCATAATCCTAGGACATCTTATGCTAAGCAAGCATTCCATTCCTAGTCTTTCACAATTTGTTTTCGTTTTTTTGTCAGCCATGGGGCTTGAACTCTGGGTGTGGGCACTGTCTATAAGCTCTTCAGCTCAAAGTAAACACTCTACCACTTGGGCCACAGTGCCACTTCCGGTTTTCTGGTGGTTATTTGGAGATAAGAGTCTCACAGACTTTCCTGCCCGAGCCGGCTTTGAACCATGATCCTCAGACCTCTGCCTCCTAAGTGGCTAGGAATACAGGCATGAGCTACTGGTGCCCAGCTCACAATTTGTTTTCTACTCATTTTTCTTTGCTTTCTAGGAGGAACTAGGGATTGAACTTCATGCCTCACAGTTGCCAATGCTTTACGCCATTTGATCCATGCCCCCCAGCCCTGGTTTGTTCTGTTTTAACTTTTCACAAGTACACATCATTTCTGCTAAGATATCCCAATTTTTAAAATGCAACAAGACAAAAGCATATTGTTACAGGAAAACATCAATCTTCAATAAATTCTTACGAAATAATTCATGATTATACTTTCACAGGCCCAGACATTGTTTTTCTGATGTCAAGTTTAGGTAACATCCTAGTGCATCCTATTGGTCTGTAACACGTATACATATTTTTCAATCTCTTAGCTTTGTGGCACACATCTGTAATCCCAGCAACCAGAAGGCTAAGGGAGGAAGATCACTGAGCTATCTACTGAATTCAAGCTGAAGGCCTCATCTCAACTAAACTAAACCAATTTTTTTATTTTTAGTATTTTTTCTTTTAGTTTTATTTGTTTATACGGTACCAAGGAATCGAACCCAGGGCCTTACGCATACTAGGCAAACACTCTATGCATTATTCCCCAGCCCCTTCTCCCCAAAAAAACTGGTATATAATTCTAATGTATTACTTTTAAGGCACTCATAGGCAACGCACTATTATGCCACGACCTTTGTAGGCACAAGACAGATGGAAGAATCTGGAAACTAAGCACACACATACCTGTGCAGCATGTCCGGGGCCTGGTTCAGCAGTGTGTAATACTGTCTCACAAATTCCCGCCCGACCAGCAGGGGACTAGGCTTCTCCATAACCATTGCTTTGGTCAATTCAACCTGGAGGGAAAAAGAAATATATCTAGGTTGGGAATGTGGCTTAGTGGTAGAGGGCTTGCCTAGCATGCATGAAGTCCTGGGTTCAATTCCCCAGCACCACGTACACAGAAACAGCACCACATACACAGAAGTGGCACTGTGGCTCAAGTGTTAGGGTGCTAGCTTTGAGCAAAAGTAGCTCAGGGACAACGCCCAGGTCCTGAGTTCAGGCCCCAGGACTAGCAAAAATTAGAAAGAAAGAAAGAAAGAAAGAAAGAAAGAATATGTCCAACTTAAAAGATCACAAGAGGAAAAAAAAAAAAAACTAGACCTTTTTGCTGAAGCCAACTCAAGAGATGTCACTTAAGCAATTCTCTACTTTACAAAGGGATAAAGATTCTAAGAATAGACCAAGCCCACATAGATCATGAGATCTGGTCCATTCAAATTTCTTACAATCAGCCCCACAAGGACTTGGAACCTAGTCACATTGTAGCAACTGTTTGCCCTCAGGCATAAATCTGCCTGCTAAGTCTTAAAGAACTGTACTTGCAGTTAGGCTCATGCCTAGAATCCTAGCTCAAGAACTATGATCTGAGGATCATGGTTCCAAGCCAATCCGGGGAAGGAAAACCCATGAGACTCTTATCTCCAATTAACCACCAAAAGCTGGAAGTGGAGCTGTGGCTCCAAGTGGTAGAGCACTACCCTTGAGCAAGAAAGCTCAGGCATAGCACCCATGCGTTGGGTTCGACCCCCACAAGTAACACACTGACACACATACAAACACACAAACGTACCGGAGGGCAGACAAACCTGAAGCAGAATGAGATCCTTCTAACGCTGTGTATAAAATAATTCCAAGATTTTTAAAAACTAATTAAAATAAGTTGCAGAATTTTTCACTGGCTTGCAATTCTTAAAAAAATTATAAAGGTAACATGTGGGCACGAAAGATGTTCTAGAGTCTGAGAGTCCCTGTTTCTTCACTTAAACCCGTGCAATCGCACATATGTACATGTCATGTAACATGTACTTCCTTTTTTTTTCTTCTGCAACATGGGTTTATTTTAGAAGTTGGCATCATCAACCTGGCAAATATTAATTTTTAAAGAGTACAGAATATTTTTCTAAAAATTAAAAGTACAAAATAAGCAACTACTGAACGTAGAGATTGGGAGAAGTTCAAGGTCACTTTGGGCAAAAACTTAAAAAGAGGTTTTATTCCAGCAACACACGAAAAGTAGGGTAATCCCAGCTACAAAGGAAACCTAGATAGGAGGATTGTGATCCAAGGCCCATGTTGGTAAAAACACAGACTATCTTAAAAAATAACTGAATGCCAGGTGCCAGTGGCTTACATCTCTAATCCTAGCTGCTCAGGAGGCTGAGATCTGAAGACTGTGGCTTAAAGCCAGATCAGACAGGAAAGTATATAGACTCTTATCTCAAATTTAACAAGCAAAAATGCCATAATGGAACTGTGGCTTGAGGGCAGAGTGCTAAATATAACCCAGAGACAGAACCCAGGCCCAGAGTTCAAGCCCCAGCATCTGCATCTCTCTCTCTCTCTCACACACACACACTCACACACACACTCACATTCCTGAAAGCACAAAATATACATGTATTAAATATGCCCCATGAATTTAAAGTATGCTCAATGTCTAGATTTAAGACTAGAAAACCCGGTGTTATTAAACACATGACAAATTATAGAAATCACTACATTACACAGGTCTCATTTTTTTACATGCAAGATTTCTGGGCAATCTGTTACTTTTTCCCTGGATGTATTTGTCTTCCATATGTCAAAGTAGTTATGGCTTATATAAATATAAAATGAATGTTAGCAGAGAACATCTCTTTTAGTACAGATCAGAAAGAAAAGGTGTATGTCCCTTTTCCAATACTTACCACTATTTGCAAAAGTGTTTCTGAGTAATGCAAATAGCTGTATGGGCAGCTGGACTTGAAAGGCTAATGCAAATGGGCAAAGGACACCAACACATACTATCCTTCCCTTTCCCTACATATAAAACATAGTAATTCATCTTGTTGCTTGTTCCCAGAAACAAGACATATAACTTGAATCTTCTACAGATGATATCTACCATGTTTTGGTCATTTAAAATCAGCCCTCCTAGCCTTTTTCTGATAAGAGAATCTATCAGCTGTAATTTTACTAACTTCTAACAGAGATATTGTGCATACTTTTACTGGTTCAAAGAGACTAGTTAGTCTGAAGAATAAGGTGCTGAAGGCGGGAGGGACAACATAAAACACCTATCAGATCGTTTTAAACCTTCTTACACCCTCAGAAGGAAATGAAATGTCTCATCTATCCAGAGTGTAGCAAGAACCAATAATAGCTTCTTTCAGGATCTCGGTGCTTTCCCTGCTGGGTGAGGTGTTACTCCTTTTGGCCGCTCCTTGTCTTAGTTGCAGGGCCAAAGCACTGTCCCGCGCGATACATGGCACATTTCTTTGGACCCCTTTTTTTGCAGGTCATTCCTCACCGTCCCCACCACACCATCATTCTGCTCCTCAGTCCCTAAAAACTCGGCCAGCTCCGTGGAGTCGTCCCACAACACCTAACATGGCGGCCCAACTCTCCCTGTATTTCCTTTCTTAAAAGGCTTGGGCACTGCATGCCAGTGGTTCATGCTTGTAACCCTAGCTAGTCAGGAGGCTAAGATCTGAGAATCCAGGTTTGACCCCAGCCCTCTGTGCGACTTTTCTGTCCAATGAACTACAAGAAAAGCCAGAAGAGGAGGTATGGCTCCAGTGGTAGAGCACCAGCCATGAGCCAAGTGAGAACTCCAACCCTGAGTTCAAGCTCTGCTAACTGGCACAAATAAGAAAAAAAGTATCTTGCCAGGCACTGGTGGCTCATGCGTGGAAATCCTAGCTACTCAGGAGTGAGATCTGAGGATTGTGGTTCAAAGGCAGCCCAGGCAGGAAAGTCTGAGAGACTCTTATCTCCAATAAACCACTCAGAAAACCAGATGTGGCACTGTGGCTCAAGTGGTAGAGCGCTCACCTTGAGCTGAAGAGCTCAGGAACAACACCCAGCCCAGAGTTCAAGGCCCACGACTGACAAAAAAAAACCAGTATCTGAGAGAGTCAACAAAAGGAAACATTTTCTTCAACCAATTCTTTATGGCCAATCACTAGCTGTGTCCTAAGACACAGTTCAATCTAAAATTCAACCATAACTGGAACCAAAGTGGTCACTGTGGGATTGATTAGTATGAGTGAAGACCCTGTCCTAAGGTCCACGGCCAGAACCAAAAAGTAGCATCAACTGCTCAGGACTGAGGCATCTGATAACAGAGTACATGTTAGCATAAAAATATGTACAAAGGTGAATATTTCCTGAATAACCTTCTTAGTGAAAGAAGTATAGAGGACCACTTCTAGTGATGAAGACAACTTGTCAAGATCCTGCTCAGGCTGCAGTAGCCCAAGCACTTCAGGAACATGATTCAGCCAATCAGAAATCCTGACAACAGTCACTTTTCAACAGGAGCACTTCATTTATAAAATATAATGCTGGGGCTGGGAAGGTGGTTCAGTGGCAGAGCGCTTGCCTTGCATGCCTGAGGTCCTGGGTTCGATTCCTCAGCACCACATAAGCAAAAAGAAAAAAGCCGGAAGTGGCGCTGTGGCTCGCTCAAGTGGTAGAGCGCTAGCCTTGGGTTGAAGAGCTCAGGAACAGCACCCAGGCCTAGAGTTCATGCCTCATGACAGACAAGAAAAAAAGAAAAAAAAAAGATAATGCTACTTGTGCACAGACTATAAAAAACCAACTCCCTGACTTACATTTCTGCCTGTTTTATTTTTGGTGGTATACAGGGATTTGAACTCAGGGCTTCACAGTATTGGTTATGTTCAAGATAGGATGTTTTTATGCCAGGCTGATCTAGACTTCGATCCTCCTATTTGTGCTTCTTGGTGTCAGGATAACAAACCCAGGTCACCGCGCCTAGTCACTGACTGAAGGTGAGGGGCAACTTTTCTGCCTAAGCTGACCTCAAAAGTTCCCAAATAGCTGATTCGACTTAAGCATGGGTGTGCATTGGACACATGGACACCACATACACACACCAGTCAGCCAATTACTGAAGCTTGAACCCAGGACCTTGCCCTCTTCCTCAAGTTTTTCACACTGAAAGTTGGAGCTCTACCATTTGAGTCACATATCCACTTGGGGCTTTTTGATGATTCAATGGAGTCTTAAGGATTTGGCTGTAGGCTAGCTCTGAACCACTGTCCTCTAATCTCAGCCTGAGTAGCTAGGGGTACAGGTGTGAGTTACCCCCTCATGCATGTGATCTACCACTCAGGGCTCGGAGCAATTGAATGCAAAGTTCTAAACTAACAATGCCATGCTTGATTGAAAAGCATCTAATACTTTCAACAAGCACTACTTTAAAGCTAGGGGGAGGCACTGGATTAGCAATCGTGTGCTCCTGGCCCTGCCCCGTGAAAAAAAACACACTTCTACAGAACCAAAATGCAGAAATACCACTGGCACCTCCAGAAGTAACCATCACCCACTTCATTTCGGCTGTTCTGACCCCGGATATCAAATACTACGATCCAGCACATTCTCATTTGTCACTTGATCCCCAGTTTCTACTGGCACAGCATTTCTTCAAAGTTTTCCACTAGTTATGAAATGATAAAGGTACTTCCTTCTTTCAGCTAGTAAACAGAACTATGAGCACTTTTGTCTTAATTTGTATGACTGCAGCCCTGGGATCAACCAGAATTAAATAATGAAACTTATTCTTTCTAACCAAATACAGCCGAATCTCTGGAAAATTCACTGGAAATGCCAGTATAACTTCTTGGGTTTTTGTTTTTGTTTTTCCTGCTGGCCTTGGGCTTGAACCAAGGGCCTGAATGCCATCCCTAAGCTTATTCAGCTCCAAGCTAGTGCCTTGAGCCACGGTTCCACTTCCAGTGTTTTGATAGTTAATTAGAGATAACAGTTTCATGGATTTTGTTACACT